CCCCAAAACCCCAAAACCCCAAAACCCCAAAACCCCACAATCTAATATTAAAATAGAATATTGAATTTAAGGAGAATAAATATTTATAATCTTTTGAGGTTTGCATGCTACTAATTTTTAATTTGAGTCTAGAAATTCAAAGCTCTAAAGATATCTTTTTCTGTTGCTCATTTTATTATAGTATATTAGTCAGCCTCATTATTTTCTTTTTAAACTAGAGAGGTCTTTCAAAGATCTTGTCTTCGTAGATTCTTGACATATATATGCTAATTATGATGATCGAAGCAAATAAAATTTCTAGAGCATATAAAGACTCAATACCAATCATCTCTCTAGATATTCTCCCTAATGATAAACCAGAAAAACCCCCAATCGCACCACATGCACTTGTTATTCCATACATTGCACCTCTACATTCTCTTCTTACAGTTTTGCTTAGAATTATCATTTACTACATATAAATAAATATCAACCTATTAAAGCTTGTACTTACTGTCATATAGATATTGAAGATGATAAACATGCAACCAGCAAAGCCAAGTAACTTGAAAAAATCTTGGTGCTTTGAGTAGCCTTATCTAATTCCAAAAATAAGCAAGAATAGCACTAAAAACAAATATTCCCTGAGTAGCATTCTCCATGCAGGCTTTTTATCAGCTTTAATTCCAGTGTAAAATAATGCAGGAACTAATGCTATCCCTGTTACTATATAGAGAATAGCTCTCTATTTCTCAGAAGTTGTGATATCCTCAGAAGTGCCAACAAAGAACTATCATAGTAATAAAGTTATTATTTCAGACTTACAAATGAAAATATAACATGCATTATGACAAATGAAGATATTTGTATTAGAATAGTTCCCTTATCATCTCTGAAACTTTTGGTAAGGCCTTTTGTAATCATTTTAAAACGTTATCTGATAATTATAATGATCAGGAAATATTACCTAATTGAGGCTGATTTACTTCTTACTCTGTTTTTGTAGATGTCAAAAAAATGCCAGCAAAAGGTAAAAGCTGTAACTAATCCTAATATACCTCCAATAAGGAAGAACATATTGATATTTACATCTTTATGAACTTCTACTTGAATAAATATAAATCTATATTGTTTAAACAAAGATTTGCTTACATGATAACTATAGCAAAAGTGAATAATAGTCCCATATAAGAATATGCAAGTCCTCTTTTATTAAAACACACCAAATCAGGAATAAACGGAACTGTCAGACTAACTGAGCTCATAACAAGAGCAAGTGATGTAATAGGGAAGAATTTTATGTATGGTACAAGCATTGTTGCTATACTAGTGACGCAGACTCTCATAGTGAATATTTACTTTCTGCCAAGTAGATCAAACATAAATCCAAACATAAGACAGCTAAATGCTAATGAAAGCTCGGTCTGCTGCAGTAGCCCCTGCTATCCAAAATTCAAATTGATCGCTAAAATCAGAAAGATCACAAAGTCATAAACAAAGCATGTTACGAGAGTCATTTATGTCACATTTCTCTTAAGTTCGAGTTGAAACATCTTGGGTAGACAGCCAAAAAGTTTGTTCTACCTTTATAATCTGCTAATTCTTTGCTTTTTTTAGGTAATGGGATCATTGTCTATCAGCAGAGGGACTGCTTTTAATTCTTGCGCTTAATCAAATAGATTCGCAGCGCTACCCATAATATCTGCATTGAAAGAATCTCCATAAGAGCTATCCAATAATGAAGCTGATGATAGCTTGCTCAATGAATGCATTTTCAAATACCTGTCCTAGTTTCCTCCCATTTCAGGCATTTTAAGTAAATGATGCTGCTACTGCTAATAATCGACTGGATTTGTTTCCTCGATTTTTAGAGTAAGAGGAGTTTACAAATTTTCTAATATAATTTAGCTTCTTCTAATATTTTAAGATTTTGTATTTCCTTGTTCTTCTTGGATGCCTTCACTGTCATAGTTGTTTGCATTACGACCTCCAATATTTACTACTTCAATGGTAACCCCTATTCTTGTTCCATCTTTATCAAATTTTTTAGAACTCATTTAAATTTCCTATTTATTTTTTGATAATTTACGCAAATTTAATTTACTCATTGATTGTGCTTATCTTACTTTTTGGGGTTTTGGGGTTTTGGGGTTTTGGGG